AGACAGGGTCTCCCTGTAGCCCCAGCTGGCCTGGAACTTGCTATGTAGACCAGGCTGGTCTCAATTCACAGAGATCTGCCTGCCTCTACCTCCCGAGTGCTGGGATTAAAGGGATGCGCCAGCACTCCCAGTGAAATTTTAATTTCTGTGTACTTATCTGTAAAGTGGAATATTACCTACAGGATTCTTCTAAGGATTGAATGAGAGTCTAGATTAGAACCCAGACACTTGAATTCTCACCAGAGTCTCCAAAGCATTTCCTACTGTATTACATTCACCTTCATGTTTTCTACCTGCTTATGTTTTTAACTAAATTTTAAGTTCACACGGGCAGAGATATCTTTTGCTTTTTACTATTCAGGTACTGTATAGTCACTGAAAGTCTCACAAAGAAGGCATGTCCAACTAGAGAGGTTTCATCTATCATACTAACTAGAGTCCATATATAAAACTCTGCAGACGACACATATCTCTGCCTGTGTTTATCGAGACATTCATGAGCACTGAACTAAGCAGAATAACCAACCATAAGTCAAAGGTCTAAAGAATCTGTTTGTTCTGCTTATCTTACTCAGTTAAGCAGAAATTGGAAATACTGTGTATTGGCTTTAAAATGTGTTGACGCAGTTACTTTCTATTTTAAATCAGCCTATAAATTCCTACCCATGATCCCCCAATCTGTATAACATCAACCATAGTCACAGCCATGGGTTTTGAACTTGTGAATCTGCTATTACAAGGAACCTGCAAATCCATTATCTTCTGTGCAAAGAAATAATATGGGCCAGGCGTAGGGACACATGCCTTTAACCCCAGCACTCCAGAGACAGAGGCAGGGGAATCTCTGAGAGATCAAAGCCAGCCTGGTCTAGATAGCAAGTTCCTGACTAGCTGGGCTACAGGGAAACCCTGTCTCAAAAAAAACATAAAACAAAAAGCAAACTGTACAGGGCTGGACAGATGGCTCAGCAGTTAAGAGCACTGGCTGCTCTTGCAGAGGACCCAGGTTCAGTTCCCAGCACCCACATGGCAGTTAACAACCATCTGTAAGTCCAGTTCCAGGGGCATTCAATCGCCCTCTTCTGAGCTCCTTGGGCATTGCACAACACAGGTGCACTTACATACAGGCAGGCAATACACTCAGACACATAAAATAAAAATATTTTTTTTAAAAACAAATTGTACTTATTAGAAAAAGTACATACCCACAAGCCTATACCACATGATTCATAGATCTTAGTATCTTAGCTAAAAGAAGGCAAAAGATTCTAGTTCTGTGGGCACCATCTAATTTGTTAGTAAAAGTTTAAATGTAAAAAAATCTTAAAAGTTGAAGGTTTACAGTTCCTCTTATCAGGAACAGGTATGACAGAACAAACCTCCATAACATCTTTTAGATCAACTGAGAGCTACACTTGATCCTGGAAAATATTCCTAGTGATGCACACTGTATTCTGCTTTCTACTTGAAACCCTGGAGTAGCCTTGAGGTATCCAGCCCATATGCCAAAGCACTAACATTACTCCCAACTAGGATTTCTTCCCACAGGAATGACATCATTCCATCAAATCTTTTCCCCAACTAGATACACAGAACTTGTGAATTTCATTGTGGAAACTCTCAAGAACAACCTTACCCAGTGTTTCAAATCTCCATTAATCTTGCAAATAGCACTTTTACCTTCCTCTTTTTTTTTTTTTTTTTTTTTTTTTTTTTTTTTTTTTTTTTTTTTTAGTCAGGGAGACAGGGTCTCCCTGTAGCTCCAGCTGGCCTGTGATTCACAGAGATCCACCTGCCTCTGCCTTCTGAGTGCTGGGATTAAAGGCCTATGCCACCAGACCCGGCTCCCCCTAAGTAATTTTGTTAACATTGATACATTGGTCTTCCTCGAGGAAGTACTTGGAAACCAGGAAGAAACAAGGAAGAAAGGTAATAAGAGGTTCAATGTGATATCAACAATTTATCAATAGTGTTAAGCCAAGTGTTAGTGTACATCCATAATTCCAGCACTTAGAGGGCGGGCAGGGGGGACTGAGGCAAGAGGCTATTGAGTTCAAGGCCAGCCTGGCCTATATAGCATGGTCCTATAGTGCGCGCTGGGCTCTCTGCGCGCCCTGGAAGTGGCACGGAGGGCCTGGCCACGTCCCGCAGGCTTCTCTGGTGGGCCGCGCCCTGTGGCACCGCGGCTTGTGTCTCCTGGATGCGGCGGCTGGCCGCGGCGGCGGACAGGTCTCTGTCCGCCACTTTTTGGTGCTGAAAAGTCCCTCTGCTGCTGAGGTCTACTCAGCCGGTCCCGTCCTTATTTCACCTGTGTACTTTCCTCAGGATGCGAGGTCCACTGGCCACTGAACCACGCGGGAAGAGTACGAGGACAGCGAAAGCTAGGAATGTCCGCAAGTCGGTAACGGAGGAGTGCTGCCCCCCGGAGAGGCTAGGTCGCCGGTAGTAAGACACAAGACTCAAGACTCGGCTTAGTCTGTGCTTACAGCTTTATTCTCTCTGGGACCCAATCTCTGGGACTCAGTCTCTGACCCGATCTCCCACTATTAAGAGAAGGCTAGGATATTTTTATACCATGGGGGTAGTGGTAAAAGCTTTGGCTGATAGATACTTTGTGAGACATTCTATTTGCATATGGAAGTGGATTTCTGCCATGCTGCCAGACTGCTGACTACCTGAAAAATCACACAGGAAAGCATGGTATTCCTAGAGCCAGAGGCCATGTTTATGTTATGGCATTTGTGGCGGGCACTTCAAAAGGAGAGTCAGGAAAATTGCCAGGAAGGCACCCCGCTATGAAAGGGGTCTCAGCACATAACTCCGAGCTTCGTAAGCTATCCGGGTATGAAGAGACTTCTACTTCACATAACAGAGGCCCCCAACATGGTCCTGTCTCAAAATAAAGGGGGAAGGGTAAGGTGGGCCTACAGCTAAGTAGTAATGTATATGCTTAGAACACATAAGGTCCTGGATTTAATTATATACAAATAAATCCAATGTGAAAAATATCAAGTCAAACATGATGGTACACATTTGTATTCCTAGCACTGGAGGCTGAGAGAGCAGGACTGAAAGTTCAAGACCAGCCTGGGCTACACAGTGAGACCTGTCTCAAACACAAACAAACAAGATAACTTAGACTGGGAATATAGCTGTTGGTCGAGTGCTTGTCAACATTCATGAAGCTGGGTTCAATCCCCAGCAACACATATACAGGCATGGTGGTGTATTGCTATAATCCCAGCACTCAAGGGGTAGTGGCAGGAGGATCAGAAGTTCAAGGCTGTCTCCTGAGTTACAGAGTAAATTGGATGTCAGTCTGGGCTACATGGGACCCTATCTCAAAAGAAAAAGATAAATGTGATCTAACACCCTTAAAGTCATTTCTAAAACCTTAGAAATAACAAGGTCTTTACTTTAACTGAATCTCTGTCACAGAACCTGTAACACAGTACCTGTCTGTGCCAGACAGTTTCAGTTGTCAACTTGAGACACCTCAGATGGAACCTCAATTGAGGCTTTTTTTCCATTGGATTGGACTGTGGCCATGTCTGTGAGGCATTTTCTTAATTGCTAATTGATATGGGAGAGCCCAGTTCATGGTGAGCAGTGCCACACGGAGGCAGGTAGTCATGAGCTGTATAAGAAAGCAGGCTGAGCACAGGCCAGATGAGCAAGCCAGTAAGCCACATTCCTCCCTGGTCCATGCTTCAGTTCCTGCCTCCAGGTTCCTGCTCTGAGTTCCTAGCCAAGTTCCTATCTTGGCTTCCATTGATGATAGACTGTGAGCTATAAGCCAAATAAACCCCTTCTGCTTCTAGTTTTGGTCAGAGTGTTTTATCACAGCAATAGAAACCAACTAGGTCACTGCCCAAGCCAACAGTGTCTTGTAAAAGAGAAGCCATGGAAAAACAGGGACAAAGGAATATAAATGAGAGAATCAGGCTAGAAGACTCCAATCTTCGGTAGGCGTACTTACTTTTCCCCAGTGCCCACTGTATCTTTTCTTCCTCCAGGGTGAAATATGTACATACTATGTCAGTGAGTATAGTTTCTATATATACACCCAGTCACATAAACATACATAGATATAAACCAGAATTTTTTTTCCTAATAACTATTTAATGAAAGACGTGGGAATTAGAAAACAAGTTCTTACCCCCAAAATCTTCCTTCAAGCTTGAGAACCATTACTCAATCACCTGTTCAAAGAAAATATCTAAGATGCACTTATACAGCTGTTATATACCAAATGTTAATAAAATTTACATTGAACTAAAGAAGAGATTTAATCAATAGTCATCTCTACAACCTTGGCCTAAAAATTATTTTTATGATAAATTAAACTCTTATTATAAAGAAAGAGTCAAAAAACCTACAGCTATAGAGACATGTCATCCTAGAGTCTTCCAGTTTCTCAACTCTTGGCAATAGAAAATCAGAGGAAAAATTAATTTTTAATGCCAGGTTATTTCTTCTCCCTCTCAACTGGAGCTAACAGTTAAATGTCCACCCCTCTGCCCTTGCCACTCAGCTCCCCAGTTCTGTCCCATATGAAAATAAATTTGACTAAACTCTGGAAAATACTAGGGGCAATTACTCAGTGGGAGGACAGCAAGGCACGAACCAATGTAATCACTCAAGTTCCAAGTTCTACCACTCTCTAGGAATGTGCAAATCAAATAATTTTCTACCTTTGTGTTTCAAATTATTAACAGACAAGAATACACACACACACACACACACACATACACACACACACACACACGAAAACAAAATAAGCAAATCTGCTCAACTCTGCATAAAATTCAAAGGGCAGGTCATTTAATATTAAAGATCTCCAGTTCACACTGTAGGGCTCAAGAACTCTTTAAAATCCCAGCATTCTCTCTTCTGACAGTCAGACGGGGCTGACTTTAGCAGTCAGTGTAGTCATTTCTTCCTTAACTCTCGTAAAGACTCAAGATTCCAAGCATGTAAGACTTCCAGTTGAGAGAGAGAGAGAGAAAGAAAAAACAAAAACAACAACAACTAAAAAGTCCAGGATATTTGGATGTGGTGGTTAATTTTTTTTTTTTTTTGAGACAGGGTCTCCCTGTAGCCCCTGCTGGCCTCGAACTCACAAAGATCTGCCTGCCTCTGCCTCCCGAGTGCTGGGATGAAAAGCGTGCACCACCACGCCCGGCCTGGTGGTTAATTTTAACTGTCAACTTGCCTCAACCAAGAATAACCAGGGAAAAGTCTCAATGAGGAACTTGGCCTGTGGCATACCTGTGAGGGATTTTTCTTAATTGGTTAATTGAGGTGGGAAGACCCATCCTGAAAGTGAATGGCACCATTTCATGGGCTGGGCCCTGAACTAAATTAAAGTAGAAAAAAGCAAGCTGAGCAAATAGGCACACACATCTTTCTCTACCCTTGACTGGATGTCACTAGCTGCTTTGTATTCCTGCCTCGACTTCCTGGAAACAATGGACTGCAACCTGGGATTGTATATTGGATAACCCTAGAATGGGAGGCATCTCTTAATTCCAGATTAATTTGGTAGAGGATGAAGAAGTTGGGGAGGGAAAAGAAAAAAATGGAGGAGTGGCCTGCTGAAATAATAGCCTGCCTCTAAAGGCTGTGCTCAGAGGGTATGAATCAGAAGCTGGTCCTAGTGACACAAGCCTGTAATCCCAGCTATTTGGGAGAGTGAGGCAGGAGGATCACAATTTAAAGGCTTGCCTGTACTACAGAGTGAGTCTTGAGTCAGCATGGACCAGTTAGTGAGACTCTGTGTCCAAATAAAAAGATGCTGGGCACATTGCTTAGTGGAAGAGCACTTCCTTAGTATATATAAGGACCTAGGTTCAATCCCCGGTCCTTCAAAATGGACATGCACAATTTAACTAGCCTAGGGGGGAATGAAAGATGTTTTCTAATATTCTACCACTTTAACCATACTCTCACCCCAAAATTAGTGTGATAGTCAAAAGAAACTGGCGAAGTACTCCTAGTCAAGAAAGAGACTCACCAAACAGTAGTGATCTTGTTCTGATGACCCTAAAGGCTGACATCACCCCACAAATGGAAAAACTTGCATATTCAGTGCCCTTTGGGGTACACCAACAGCTGTTATATGTCTCCAGTGTATCCTTCTGAGACTCTGACAGTCCAACAACATTCTTGACATTCTTCATTTATTCAACTTTAAACACTTAAAGAACATGTGTATGGGCACTGTTAGAACTGGAGTAAAGTCTACCTTTCCCAGACTAAGTTGTTTTGGGCATGATTACATTAATCAGTTTGATTCCAAGTACAGTACAGCTAGAATTGAGCATTAACAGGAAAAGTTTCAGACATGAAAAATGAGCTTTACAAATTAAAACAAGACAATACAAAATTTCAATTTCTAAATAGCAATGAATTACCAAAAACAGTGAAGTGGCTGCAGAAGCAGTAAACCTATCTCTATGAGGGGAATTATTTTAAAGTCCATAGTACAAAAGACAGTAAACAATGAGTTGGGGGGAGGGTCATTAAAAACATCTCAGGACTAAAGATTTCAAACATCTGTCTCTCTTTACCTATATGCTGCCCAACTTGTTGCCAAAATGGAACCAGAATCAGATTCCTTCCAATCCAAGACTAAGACATGCCATGTTGGTTTTTAGAGAATCTGTACTTCATGACGTAGTCACTAAAATTAAAATAAGAAAATCAAAGTGTACCATGATAGGCCACTTTTTCTTTCCCATTGTAATTTGATTTGATCTCTGAAGATATTTTGTCTTATTAGTCTCAGATTCCTGAATTATTCCTACCTTGCTAATATTGCCAAGAATAAATGCTCTTGCACAACTAAGACAAAAAGATGTTATATAGAAGGACCTTAGGGCTCTGGTTCCTCTGTATGTATGGCAAAATACACTAATGGTGGGACAGAGTTTGGAGGAGGAGGTAGAGACATCCATTACAAGACAACATGACAGTAGAACCCTAGCTAGACTTTAAGATGGAACAACTTGCATATTTTCTACTCAGGCAGGAGCAAACTGACATAATTAAGTGTCACACATAGAATTATCACTCTGAATTCAGGAACAAGAGGCATTTGGTTGTAGATACAATTCCACCTGTAGGTCCTAACTTCAAATTTAGAGAAGAAATACACTCACTGCATTATTATTATGGGTTGTGGTTTCTTACACGATTTCTAAATCACTATTTTGTTGTTGTTGTTGTTGTTGTTGTTTAGTTTTGATACAATTTACAGCTATGGTAAGAAGACTGCCACAAGTCAGCCCTGGCTCAGGTGTGGTCTTTAGTTTCAGAAAGTCCATCGGTCATGTAGTTGACTGTCATTGCTAAATCTGTTGCTTGCAGAGGCCTCAGAGCTCTGGGTTTGCCGAGTAGAGTCCTCACCATTTAAGCTCTTCCTACATACAGGGCATGTGTCATGCTGAAACAAAGATATCAATTCTTGTAAAAGCCTGACCTGACAACTTAGTACAAAACACTTAAGAAATTCTAAAGTCAGCTGGGCATGGTAGTACACACCTTTAGTCCCAGCACTAAGGAGGCAGAGGCTGGTGGATCTCTATGAGATCATGAAATCGAGCCTGGTCTACATAGTCTGGTCTACATATCAAGTTCCAGGCTGGCTGGGGCTACAGTGAGACACTGTCTCAAAAAACCAAATCAGAAAATCAAAACAAAATTTTAAAAAAGAAATTTAAAAAAAAAAAAGGAAATGACTTCTGAGAACAACACCCAAGGATGACCTCTGGTCTCCACACATACACTCACTCATGCATGCATGCACATGTGCACATGTACCCACATACACACCCCCTCTCACCACACACAAATTATTACTTAAGGGCACTTATCTATCATTTATAAGGCCCTAAGTTCAATTCCTAATACTGCCAAAAAAGGTAATGATTTGACAACTAAAAAGACAAAGAACCCACTGGCTCCAAGGTATGATACCAGGATATTCCTGAATAGAATTATAAGCAGAACTGACAGAATTCTAATTCAGGAAATTAATAAAAGCTAAGACATAATACCAAAAAACTAACTATAAATAGTGACCCGAACTATGACAGAACAGTGACTATCAACCATTTTCCCATGTAGTCTCGAAGAGACTAAGCACAATTTTTCTTTAAAGGGACAGAGAGTAAATATTTTAGGCTTTGCAAACTACACCAACTCTGCTGCAACTATTTAGCTCTGTCCATGCAGCACAGAAATGGACATACACAATCTATAAACAAATAACTATAGATGTGTTTCAAACAAAAACATTTACAAAACCTGGTAGAGCACACACATGGCCTGTGTGCTATAGCTTTTCATCCCCTGGTTACAAGAGTTCCAAAAAGCTAATATTCTAAAACAATGATGGTAGTCCTAGAAATCACCCAAAATTTATGGGACTAGAATCTGGTCTACATTGCACAGTTGCCTCATCACAGATAAGAGATGGCTATACTCACCAGTTCTAACCATGGCACAATACAGCTGCTATGAAAGAAGTGATTGCAGGGTAACTGCCGGACTTCCTCTTCAACTGTGTAATCTTCTTTGCACACTGGACATTCTAAACTCATATCTGTTGGAGAAGGAAGGAATGTGTTTTAAAGTAAACAAGCCAAAAGAAGGAAACAACCCAGAGCTAGGCATGACGGTGCACCCCTCTAATCCCAGCACTGGGGAGGGAGAAGCATGGACGGTCCAAGGCTAACCTGGGTTACAGAGTGTATCTCAAAAACACAAAAGAAAAACCAAAACCCAACATGATATCTCTAACAACCCAAGAAACGCGTAAATAAAACAAAGGAGAGACAGAGACAGACACACACACAGAGAGAGAGACAGAGAGAGACAGAGAGACAGAGAGAGAGTAAATGGAAGGTAAAAAGAATTCTATTTCAAAATGGAGACAAAGGTGGTAGTAGACAGAAAAGTAAGTGGGACCAATTCCAATAGGTCTAATAGGAATCATATAATAGGCCCACTTTTTGTTTTGTTTTGTTTTGTTTATGAGACAGGGTCTCCCTGTAGCCCCAGCTGGCCTGGAATTCACTATGTTGGCCAGGTTGGCCTCAATCTCACTTGCCTCTGCCTCCTGAGTGCTGGGACTAAAGGTATGGGCCGCTATACCCAACTAGGCCCACTTTTTAATGTAACGAGTTGGAAAAATGAGCAGAGTCTGGGGCCAGAGAGATAGAATAGCTAATAAAGGTGCTTGCCACCAAGCCTGAAGACTTAAGTTCAATCCCTGAAACCTACATGGTGGAAGGAAAGAACTGATTTCAACAATCAAAATAGAAAAAGCATCTTCCCAAATATGTGACAACCTCTGACAGCCAGTATCTGCTTTGGAAAGAGTGGTAACTGGTATACCAAAGGACTCATCTCAGCCATCTTCATAGTTACTCAGTGTCTTCAGCCACCTTTATCCTGCCCTTTTCCTCACCATGCTCTCTTTTAGTGTGGCTGTCCAAAAGTCCTCTGAAGAAGTTGTTCATTAAAAGCTGTATCAGGGGGCTGGAGAGATGACTCAGCAGTTAAGAGCACTGGCTGCTCTAATAGAGGACCTGAGTGTGGTTCCCAGCACCCACGTGGTGGCTAATAACCATACGTAACTCTAGTTTCAGGGGACTAACCCCTCTTCTGGCCCCTGAGGGCATTGCATACATGGGTGCATTTATGTACATGAAGGTAAAACATTCATACAACACATAAAAATTTTTTTAAATTTTAATTAAACTTCTAATTTATCCTTTCCTTTCCATCAGCACAGCTACAATCACTAGAACCCCACCGGGACTGCAGCAATAGCCTTCTTCATCAATCAATCTCAATCTCAATTTCTCTCTCCCCCCCCCCTTGTACTCTCACCGCCCTTCCACTCTTTTAACACACTACTTTCAGATGAACCTTCCTAAAGATTACTTAACTCCCTCATTTCTCCATTTCAGGACCCACAAAACTTTTCTTTAAGAAGAATGAACCAACTTAAGAATATCAGATTATGCCCAGCATGGTGGCACCTTTAGTCCCAGCCCTCGGGAGTAAAGGCAGACAGATCTCCCTGAGATCAAGGCCAGCCTGGTCTACATAGTGAGTCCAAGGTCAACACACACAAAAAATTACACACACACAGAGCACAGAGAGGGTATTTGAATGAGGTGTAGGAGGAATCTGGAATAGAAGCTGACATGAGTAGTGGGAGGTTATAACCAGAAACGGTGGGACCTTGTTGAAAACCTTCAGACTACAAGAGAAGTTTCAAGATGTTTTAGGTAGTAGATAAGTTTTAAAACAATGTCTCTATTTATCTAACTGCACCTGACACAACTGTAAAACAAACCCCTAGCCTCTTACTTGTTCTCTTATTCTTTCCCTCAGGTCTGTATAGCAGCTCAACACTATAGTCAGCACTTTAAATTTTTAGTGAGTTTTGTTTCTAATAAGTTCTTGTACTGATTAGAATCAAGTTTTATCTATACCTTGTACCTCAATATTTCCAATGGAACCTAGAAAACAGCCATGGGAACTTCTCAGGAAGTAGCTGCTGGTTAATAATCTATTGAAGAAACAGGTGCCTTACATATTTGACACCATCAGGCATTTTAAAGGACTATAGATTCACCAGAAGAGTTCTAGTATAGAAAGGTACTAATTTTTATTTATTTATTTATTTATTGGTCTTTTTGAGATAGGATGTTCCTGTAGCCTCAGCTGGACTGCAACTCCCTATGTAGACCAGGCTGGCCTTAAACTCATAGAGATCTGCCTGCCTCTGCCTCCTGAGTGCTGGGATTAAAGGCATGCACCACCATGCCCAGAAGAAGGTACTAAAATTTTAAACAGAGGTCATACGATGAGAAAATAAATATGAAAATAAACTTGCCAACTTGTTCCTGAGTTACTGTCACTGTTGGAAGAGATGTGATCTTTTCCTTGTCAGCTGGAGGAGGACCTGTGTTTTCCAGTTGTCCTAAAAGCTACAAAAAGAAAGCAAAAAAGAAGTAGTGCTAAACATCTCAAACTCTGGAGAACCTGTTCCACCTGAGAACAAATAATGCTGATATTTAAAATGTTAGTTGCTCTTAATTTCTGCAGGGCTCCGAGAGATTTGGGTTTCCCCCTTTCTGGCGCTGGAACACTTACAATTGTTTTATGGTCTTAGAGTGACATCAGTATAAGCCATAATTGTGAGACAGACTTATAATTGAAAGGTCTACCTTTGGTCACAAAGCAAATTTAGGATGCCAAAAGGGTTAAGATGCCCTGAATAAAATTATAACTTAATAAAAAGCAATACTTAAAAAATATTTTATTTATTGTTTTTATTTCATGTATATGAGTGTGTTGTTTGCATGTAGGTAGGTTGCACCCATGTTGTGCTGTGCCCTTGAAGGTCAGTCAGAAGAGGGAATCGAATCCCCTGGAACTGGAGTTGTGGATGGTTTTTAGCTGCCATGTGGGTGCCAGGAATGGAACAAAGGTCCTCCACAAGAGCAGCCAGTGCTTTTAACTGCCAAGCCATCTCTCCAGCCCCATAATAAGCAATACTCAACTAGTTCAAATTTTTCATTCTGTAAGAATGAAGAAAAGGGTGGGAGTATAAGAAGCAGCAAAATACAAGAAAAGGTAAATTACTGCCTACAGGAAGACTTGGAAATAAACCTGCCTTCTACTCTCAGCAGTCCACGAGGGAAATGAAAAAAACAATTAAGTTAAAATGAACATAAACAAGTGGAAGCAATTACATATGCATGGGAATATCTTTTCTCTGCTTCTCTTACTTTCTCCATCTATCAAAAGTCCCTGCTTCAATGTGTGAAACCCTACTTTCCTGTGAAGCATTTGTTCCTCAGAGAACTAAACAAGAAGCTAAAATTGTTATATACTATTTATTATGAGAGGTCTTTACTTCCTCTAGAAGTGAAATTGTCTTCTACAAATCCCCTTGGGCCTGGTAGGTACATGGATACTGTGCTAAACCCATAACCCACTTATCCATTTAATAAAAATGGAAACCTGAAAGCTCAAAATATCAGTGAAAGCAGAGTGACAGCCATTTCAAAGTAGCAGAAGGAATGCAGGAATCCTGTGGAACCGCAAGACACAATGAACAGACAACCTGAAAGGCAGCTCCTCACCTGGGTTACAATGGCATCAAGCCCTGTCTGACCCCAGGCATAGTCCCCAGGGTTGGAGTGCAGCATCCCGCTCCTATACATGAGATGAGACAGACAGAATTAGGTGGGGTGACCAGGCCCTGCCTTATACCACAGAGGGGTGGGGTAGAGGACTAACAAAGGGATACTATTCTCTGGGAGCTGAAAAGTCACTAGTCTTCTAGAACTGAGAGGTAAAGAAATTCTCTATATCTGCAAGGTTAAGCAGATTATCTAAAGATTGTTTTTATTCTCAACAAATTTAATTTAACTGGAACAAAATGTAATGCCACCTAAAATGCCACATGCCACATCAGAGCAGAAAAAGTGGCTCACTGCCTGTGGATTAAGAAAAGGTTTTCTTTGGGCTGGCCACAATCTACAGCAGACGTTCCTCATTCAAAGAGACTGCACATGGTGCTGGACAATGACAACTTTTCCAGTGCAGAAGCAGCCACCGTAGTCTCTCTGAATTACAACTCAGAACACTTACAAAAGGGACTTGGCAGAACTTCTTTCTTGCTGCTGCTGGTGTAGTACCTTAGAAAAGTGGTTCAGACTCCAGATAGACTATATTAAAAGGAACTTGAGGCTAGAAAATGGGGTAAGTGTGGGGAAGAACTGAGGTCTCTCTGAGCAGAAAATCCTTCTATAGCAAGTTAGAAATTGCACATAATTACCTAAGAAAGAAGATATTCAGAAAATATTCTATCTTTAATCCCTGTCATGCACAAGTGTCACTCTGGTACTGAATTATGTACAGTCTTCTCTTAGTCTGACAAACCTTCTTGCTTTGGAAAAAGAAAAATGTTTTCAACCTCAGAAAATCTTAAAGAATAAAATCTTCCTGTATGGGTCATATGGAAAGCTCACAAAGCAGATACCAAGCCTGGCAGTGACTATCTCATTCCCCACCTCAAAACAATCCTCAGACCAAATGAGAAAAGGAACCAGGCATATCCAGCACTCAAATAGCTTAGGGGACCAAGACAGCCACCATGAGCTTGAACAATAAAAAGTTCTGATTAAGTCTGGACTCAGCCAACAATGGTCTAGCATCCCAGTCACATCTACATATGTATGTAGCTTTTTTCTATCTCCATGGTACAGAAAACAATGGATCTAAGCAGAGTTAGATTAAAAAAAAATAGTTACTTACCAAGAAAAAGGATATGGGGATCCAGGAATTGCAGAATTTGCAAAGAATCCTGCAAAGATCTGTTGTATTATTCTGTTAAAGGAGGTAAAAATGAGATAAACAGCAGACAGAAATACTTCACAGATAATCATGGCTAATTACCAACTAATACACTAAACCACAATAGCTTTCCACTGATTATTACACAAAAGTTAGCACCAGAAACTGGTCTACTGCCTGTGCTGTATGATTCTATTACTGCTCTCTTTGTTGAGTTCTGCAATTTTATGGACTAACAATATTTCTGTGAATTAGGCTAGAAAAAGACTTGATGTTATAATGGTTTTCAAACTATTTTCATTGGATCTCTGACACCGATGTGAGGAAGGGTTAAAAAGATCCTGACCTGGAGAAACCTCCCCTCGAGTTGCTGGTCAGGGTAGTCCAAGAGACTCCCAAAATGGCTATTGCCACAGTATTTGATTACCTCCCAGAACTTGAAGATAAGACTTTATTGCTGAAGACTGGACATATTTCAGACACAGGACTTAGAACAATGGAGCTAGAACTGACCTGGAAGCCTCCTTCCTAAAGACTAGCTCTCACAGTTCTACAGTATACTATGTAAGCTGCTAAGGAGAAAAATCAATCAATGGTTCAGTCCCAGCTTTAAAGCCTGATGACCACAACAACTGACACAGCAAATTATATCGCTGCAGTAGTGGCCCTTTTACCTTGGAGGTAATCAACAGCTAGCTAATTGAACTTAAAGCCTGCTCAATGAAAAGGAACTCGTGTGGTACTATAAATATAGCCGAATACACATGGCTGGAGAGGTCAGAGATCCTAGAGAAAAACATACATCTGTCACATCCCTAGACAAATTTAATTTCTTACTGTATACTAACTATGGATCCTTATATTTACAGACAAGTATACTTGTCACCACACACCAAAGAAGCTTCTTTTTGCAACAGATGGAGACTATTACAAGTTCCACAACTGGTCAAACACAGAGAGCAAGTGTCTGTGAGATGCCCAAACCTAAGTGACACATCTACAATGGAACCTCTACACCTAAAGCTCACAGAACACAGTGGAACAGGGGGTAGAGAGAATACTAATGCATCTCTCAACTCTTACCAGCAAAGCTTCCTCATGCAACAGGGGGCAATGAACACAGGCCACAACTGGCCAAAGTGTAGAGAGTAAGAGACTGTATCCCTGGATAGGACTCTTATATCAAACCTCACCCACCCAGGGCTCAGGGACCATTGTGTTGAAGAGTGGGCAGAAAGATTTTAAGAGCGAGGGGTGGTAGATGACCACAAGGAAACAGTTTTCCAAGCAGCTGGGAACTTGTACATATGAACATAAAGCAATGGTGACAACATGCATAAGACCCATGCAAACTCAAACCAGATAAACCAGAACTTTGAAAATGGGCAGAGGTCCCAATCTTAGCTGAGGAACTATTGGCAGCTAATCACTGCTGGGTGAGGGAGAGTTGGTCTTCTTTAAGAGAGTGACACTGGATAAGCGGACCAGGTTCCAGTGGATAAACTCACACTGAGGGACATCTGAGGAAACAAGCTTGACTTGAGAGACCTTAACATGTATGTCAGAATGCATGAAATCTGGTGTGGGGGGCAATGGGGAGTGCAGTTAGGGGGATCTAAATATGATTAAGATGTAGTGTATGAAATGCACAAAAATTCAATAAAAATCTATATTGGGAAAAAAAAGATCCTGACCCAGTGGGATTCTGGATCCATTTCCTTTTAACAAGGGTATTAAGCTCATCAATAATTTTGATAGTAGCCAATATTAGACCACATGACAAAGATGTCCTCAAATTCTTCACTACTTCTTTCCCCTTCAAGAAGTGAACTTGATTGCACTTAATGACTCATGTCTTACAAATAAAATATGTCAGAAATGACTGAGTGAGTTGCAAAGTCAGGCTACAAAAAGGTACTGTGGTTTCTTTCCTTCTACCTCCCTGTCACATTGGATCACTCTGGAAGAGCCAGCTGCCAAGTCATGAAGACATTCAAAGAGCCCTATGGAGAGGCCCATATGGCAAGAGAACTAAGGCCTCCTGCCAACACTCATGCAAAGGAGCCAGCTAGAAAGCAGCTCTTCCAAGCCCAGTTAAAATAGTCAGATGACTACAGCCATAGTTGATATGGTGATTACCACCTCATGAAACCTTTGCCAAAACTACCTAGCTAAACTGCTCTTAAATGCCTAAAGAAACAGTGAGACAGTAAATGCCACCAGCTGGGGTAACCTGTTTCACAGCAATAGATAACTAATGTTAAAAATCCCCCTTCTCTTGCTTGCTAGTGACATGAAGAGTAAATTAACATGTTTGAACTGACAAAAAAGTTAAAAGTGATACAGGTTTGAAGCCCTTCAGCTGACTCAATACAAATGCTTAGATTTACCAGGGCCATCTCAACAGCAGAGAATGAGGGGCTGGTTCCTCATTCTATGGTGCTTACTCTCTAGAAGTCAGATGGTGGCTCTGTTTTCTCAGATGTAACAGAAGGAAGACTGTTCAGGGTGGCCCCACTAAGTTCTGTCCAGAAATTATGTTAGTGTTATACACAGTATTTATACTGAAAAATTTTGTTGCTATTATTACATACTTTCTTACAAAAGGTAAATAAGAAAGTAAGAAAAAAAAAGGTATCTGTTTACACTTTTAACAATTCACAGAAGAGTAAAAACAACCCACAAGTCTAGAGGGGAAGTTACATGCTAAGACCATGTAAAAATATTCATATAGTTCCTAGAGTTGTGCCCAAGGCTCAATTCTATCCAGAACTGATCTTGAAGTTCTGATTGATTGACTGATTGATCGATCGATTGATTGATTTAATGTGCATGAGTGGTTTGCTTGCATGTATGTAAATATACTATGTACATGCAATGGTCATGGACACCAGAAGACGGTACCAGATCCCCTGGAACTAGAGTCAGGGATGATAGTTAGCTGGGAGTGCTGGGAACCAAACCTGGGTCCTCTGCAAGAGTAGCAAGTTCTCTTAACCACTGAGCCATCTCTCCAGTCCCCCAGTTCTATTTTTTTCTTTCCCTTTCTTTTCTTTTTGTTTTTTGTTTGTTTGTTTGTTTGGTTTGGTTTGGTTTGGTTTGGTTTTTTGAAGTAAAGTCTCATTATGTAGACCAGACTGGCCTGGTAATTGTTATGCAGGGTGGCCTTAACTCACAGCAATCCTTCTGCCTCAGCCCCCTAGGACACTGGTATGAGCTATCATCCAAGCAAGTTTCACTATTTTCTATCTTGACTCCTTTAGCAATTGCATCCAACTTTGTAACATTAATACCACACATAGGCAGTAACTTCCAAATTTTATTTCCAGCCAAGATTTGCTGCCTATCACCACCTCCACCTGAATGCGTAATAATAAGCACCTCAAGTTTATGATGTACCCAATTATATAATTTCACACTTTTTCCTTCTAAACTCATTCTTTCCAGTGTTCGCCACGTTAGCTGATGGTGGTCTACTTTTCTAGTTGCTCAAACCAGAAACCTTAGGATCACCTTTATTTTTTCTATTATATGTTATAGATAATCAACTATTCTATCACACCTGCAGCCAAGCTACATCCATAATCAAACAATTTTTTACTACTCTCATCTAAGTCACTGGCATCTCTAGTTGAGGTTAATGCAACAGCTTCTCTGCTTCTGCCCTTGCCCCTCAAAGCCCTCCATTTTGTTCTCAGCATAGCAGTCATAATGACCATTTAAAGACATAAGTCAAACCCAAGCTTTCCACTGGAATAAAAGCTCTGAGAATTGGCCAGGTGTGGTGGCACACACCTTTGATCCCTGCACTCGGGAGGCAGAGGCAGGCAGATCTCTGTGAGCTGGAGGCCAGCCTGGTCTCAATAGTGAATCCAGGCCAGCTAGGGCTACAGGGAGACCCTGTCTCAAAAAGACCAAAAAAAAAAAAAAAAAAAAAAAAAAAAAAAGCTCATCCAGGTGATTCTCTACATGGTTAATACCTGTCTTCCCATCCTTATTCCCAGAAACCTTTGACAACTCATCTCCTGATGTTCTTCTCTCTTATTCTGCTCCACATTGGTGTCTCCTTGTTGGCACATTCCTAGCTCATCCCTTCCTTTGTTTATTCAAATACTTTTTCAATGAGGCCTTTGTTGACTACCTTTGGAAACATTATACTCCCTGCAACCCCTATCTCTCTTCCCTGCCTTTTCCCACCTATCACTTAGTACTGCTGAATATTATTTATTTTACTTGCCTTTCTCCATAGTACCTAAGATGTGAGACATTAATAAAAATGTTACAGAGAAGTATATTAGCTTTTTCACTCTGTACTTTATCATCATTCCTTAATTGACACTAATTGAATATGAACATTCAATTTAGCTTCATTTTCACTAAGTCTATATATCTGTCTTTTCCACAGATGTATAAAGCTTAAACTATTCCAATACGTCCTCACTGAAACAACCCTTGAAGAACTCAGAAACAACTCACCCTTCTATAGCTGGCGACCTGTCAGGACGAGTACTTCCTCCAGGCCTGTATCTCCGAGGAACTGGCAACCTTGGAGGCCGACTGGGTGCCCAAGAGTCAGTGTGAGTTTGGTGACCTCTCTCATTGGCCCTATTATCTTGGTCCAGTGGATTGCTACTTAGAAATGGCCTAAAATCTTGTAAAAACATTGTGTGATCCAAATGGTCCAAAAGCTAATAAAAAACAGAAAAAGTACATTAGGAAAAGCAAAAAGAAAAAAAGTAGGAATAACTTTTCACACTTTGAAATTTAACTACAAAATAATGAAATTTGTTTCCCAACTATGATGGCTAATCCTGGGTGTCAACTTGACTGGATCTGGAATTAACTGAAATGAGAGAGATCTTCTTAATTGGATCATCTGAAGCTGGAAGACACACCCTAAATGTGGGTGTTACCTTCTGATGGCAGCCCGTATAAAAGGCCACGGCAGAGAAGACCACCTGGCTTCTTGCTGCTTGCCTTCTCTCTCGCTGGTGAGTTCGTCTTGCTGATGTAAACTGAAGACTAGTTGATCTTTTGGAATTCATCAGACCTTCAGCGCCAGATTAAGACTACTGAGACATCCAGTCTCATGGACTGAGCGACTACAGATTCTCAGCCTCTCCAGTGTGGTGCAGCCATTGTTGGACTACTTGGACTCTATCCAGTGAGCTAAGCTGATAAATCTCTATACATATATATTCATTCTACCGATTCTGTTTCTTTGGAGAACCCTGACTAATACACCAATTCTATGGAAGACAGCACTCACCTAAAGTGTGGATGGCCCTGGGTTCAATCCCTGGCATTGACTAATAAATAAAATAAGATTTTTTCATATACAAACAAGCAAGCTAAGGCTCAGTCCCTTTCCTTAACAGTTGGCTAATATCTATATACAAGTGCCCCTGAACAGTTTCACCTTCAGAAATACAATATGAGTCAAAGGTGATCATGGACTTCCATCTTAAGTATACTCAATCATTGAGATCAACATTATACCCCTGTGTTTTGTCATAAATGAGATCTACATCCCCCCAAATGTATTTATCCACCTGTAAAGAAGGTATCACAACCACCAAGTAGAAATGGATACCTATAAAATACTTCTCTTGACTTGGCACTGCTCTCAGAGAGGGGCTGTGTGTCAAAGCAGTGCAACAATTCTGATAATGGCATTCTATTGTACATACTTTAATCACTAAAAGGGACAGGTTGGACTTAGGAGAAGAATCACTAAGCAAAGAAGAAAAGGGAGGAGGGTATATAACTTTAAAGATTTTATTTTTTAGTTATTTGTATGTGTGTGTGTATATGTGTGCCTGAGTGCAGTACCCATGGAAGACAGAAGAGAGCATCAGATTCCCTGGAACTGGAGTTACAAGAGGTTGCATACACCTACATAGGTGCTAGGAACTAAACTTGAGTCCTCTGCAAGTGCAGCAGACACTCTTTAACTGCTGAGTCATTTCTCCAACCCCAAAATTAACTTTTCTTTTTTAACAAATCCAAAATTTATTAAAATAATTTTTAAAAAGTTTTAAATAATTTTTATTATTTAAAGAAATTCATACAATATATTTTGATCACATTCAGACCCGCATCTCCACTCCCTCCCTACAACCCCCCACCCCCACCACCAACCATCATGTCCTCTGTTTTTCTTTTTTAAAAGGCCTATCAAGCCGGGCGTGGTGGCGCACGCCTTTAATCCCAGCACTTTGGGAGGCAGAGGCAGGTGGATCTCTGTGAATTCAAGGCCAGCCTGGTCTACATAGTGACAGCTGGGGCTACAAGGAGACCCTGTCTCAAAAAAAAAAAAAACAAAAAAAAAAAAAAAAAAAAAGGCCTATCAAGTAGTCTGTGTTCCCCAAATGTTCTTGGGCATGGGTCTATCTCTTGGAGTCTGGTCAACCTCCCAGGCTTCCCACCCCTAAAGAAAATTGACTGTCCCTCTCCTAGCAACTGCCAAAAGAGTCTCAGCTAGGGATGGGGCATTTGTCCACCTCCCCCATCCATTCTGTATTTCTGTCTGGCTTGGGCTTGCAGAGAGAGGTCTGTGTATGCTATCATAAGTGCTGTGACAGGTTCATATGTGCAACTTCCCTATCATGACCAGGCAATACAGTTTCTTTGCATTCATCTCCCACCCCTGGCTCTTATGACCTTTCCTTTTCCTCTTCCACAATGACCCCTGAGCCTTGGGAAGACAGGGTATGAGATAGGTGTCCCATTTAGGGCTAAATACTCTGCATCTCTTTTTGTTTGTTTTTTATTTACTTTTTTATTTTATGTGTATGAATATTTTATTTTATTTATTTACTTATGTGTAAGTGCAGCCATGTAAGCAATGACTATGGAGGCCAGAAGACAGAGTTGGATCTCCTGGAACCAGGTTACAGACACTTGTTAGCCACCATGTGGGTACTGGAAACCAAACCTGTTCCTCTGCAAGAGCAGCCAATGTTCTTAACCTCTGAGTCATCATTCCAGCCCCTCTACATTTCTTACTCTCTGCAAAGATATGTATGCCCACTGGTACAATAATGGCACAGATGTTACAAGAGTAGTCAACCCCTTTCTGATTGGATTTACGTCCTGCTTCACAAGATGAAGCCCATACCTGGCACTGTTTTCAGGGCCAAGAACCTGTGGTTAGACAGGTCACAGGCCATAGGGCTATTCTGCTAAATAGACATAGTATTAAACTAACTCCTAGTTACACTGTTATACCCATAGATTACTGCATTTCTCAATTCTCACCAGAGAAGCTATTAACACAGATGCCCCAAATTAACTTTTAAAACAAAGTTTTGGGCTAGTGAGACAGCTTAGCACCTAAGTACACTTACTGCCAAACCTGATGACCTGAGTTTGATTCCTGGGACCCACATCATGAATGAATGTAAATTGTCATCACATCTAATAATGTGGGAAAATTAGAAAAAGCTTTGGCATCAGCATTAAGAACTTTGCTAATTGCCTGGAAATGCAAATTAGTACAAACTAATAGTAACTGTCAATGTATTTGTGGCCTACTTTCATCCCAAAATGATAGTGTGCTCTAACCATAGAACAAAGGATAAAAGAGAACATCCCACAAACTTATTCCAAATCAACACTAAGGATAAGAATGGCTTCAGGTTATCTGTCTCAGGGAAGACTTACACAAGCATAAGGGGGAAAATAGCTCATAAATAAAACTGGGTTTTCAGGACACAACTTACACAAGTAAAAACTAATGGCAAACACTATTACAGAGTGTTAGTAAAACATTCAAAAGAATCACAGTTTAGCCAGGCATGGTGGTGGATGCCTCTAATCCCAGGATTTGGGAGGTAGAGGCAGGAGGATCTCTATGAGTTCAAGACTAGCCTGGTCTACATAGCAAGTTCCAGGCCAGCTGGGGCTACAGGGAGACCCTGTCTCAAAAAACAATACCCCCCCCCCAAAAAATCACAGTTTATTTGACAAATTTGATCTTGAAAAAACAAAGTTACTCTGAATAGAAGTAAAAACACAATACTTCCAATTTCACTATAAACAACAGGATAAGGGACTGGATTAGTTAAAAGCACTTGTTTCACAAGCATGAGAACCAAAGGAATTCAGATTCTAGTGCCTACATACAAGCTGGGCATCCTGGCAAACACCTGTCTCCAGCTCCAAGGAGGTAGAACCAGGAAGATCTTGGGTTTGCTGGCTTCCAATCTAACCAAGAAAATATAAGCCCCAGGTTCAGAGAGAGATCTTGTCTCAAGGAAAATGTGGAGAGTGATAGAAGAGAGCACCAGAGGTCCTCTTCAAGCATCCAAACATGCACATGTACATGCACACACCCACACACAATATGTGCATGCACTCACATAGACACACACAAAAATAAATAAATCCTTTAAAACATAAATTTTAGAAAACAGGATAGACAGTATCTTCCATTTAGCAGAGCTTGATCTGAATCAACTACAATCAGATCAACAGCACTTAAAATGTTAACAGTATGTTCCTCAAAGAATCAGTTACTTGACGTAACAATTTCACTGTTGGTTAAAAACCCAAGAGAATTATAAATGTATCACGAAACTTGTACAAATATATTAATAGAAGCGCTATTCATAAAGCCAAAAAGAGTAAATAACCCAAATGCTCATCAGCGAACACAGAGATACATAAAATACTGGATAGCCATGTGAGGCTAGGGATATAATTCAGTGGGTTCAGTTCTTGCCTCACAAGCATCAAGAGGATCATTCCCCAGCACCAAAAAATAAAAGTATCTATATAATACATTATGAAGTCATAAAAATGCAAGTACTGACATATGCTAAAACATGGGTGAAACTTGAAAAGAATAAGTCAAGTTAGAAAGGTCATATATTGGGCCGGGCATGATGGTACACACCTTTAATCCCAGCCCTTGGGAGGCAGAGGCAGGTGGATCTCTTTGAGTTCAAGGCCAGTCTGGTCTACATAGTGACTTCCAGGCCCTGCCTGTCTCCAAACAAAACAAAAAAAAAGATTATATATGATTTCATTTATAACAACTGTCCTATATAGGCAAACACAAACAGACTGAAAATACATTGGTGGTTGACTAGGGTAGAGAAAACTGTGGAGAAATAAGAAGTACATGTAAATGATTAAAAGATCTGGAGCTAATGAAAAAGTTCTAGGAACCTGAGAAATAACTCAGTCAGTAATATAGTTGGCAAGCAGGAGGACCTAAATTCAATCCCTAGGACCCATGTTCAAAAAATAGAAAATAGGGACTGGAGTGGTGGCTCAGCACTTTAGAGGACTTGCTGCTCTTGCAGAGGGCCTGGGTTTGACTCCCAGTACCCACATGGCAGCTAACTACTGCCTGTAACTCCAGTTCCAGGGTATCCCACACCCTCTTCTAACCTCTACAGGCATTGCAAGACATGGGTGCACTTTATATGCATGCAGGCAATATGCTCGGACACACTTAAAAATAATAAGGTGGCATTCTCTAAATTGGCTCAAAGAGTGCTGTCATTGGCCAGCTAAACAGATTTGGTTGATTTGGAACTTTTTTAGTACGAGCTGTCTTTTCCCAGTGATCTTGAGCTTTGTAACGTTTGGGGGCTCGTCCGGGATCGGGGGGGCTCAGACTTGGGGTTATCGGTCCAGGACGGGCCCAACATGGGGGCAGATGTCCGTGACTCTCAAG